GACGTTACTCTTTTCTTCGCCAGTTTTAGATGTCCATGTGAACCTTATTAAAAATAGCTGTTGTGGACCTATCTTTATGTCTTGAAAAATATATTTAAGGGCTTACTCATCGTCGCTTCCTACTCCTTGTAAATCCCTAATATCCTATATTTTAACTGCTGCCAAATTAGCTATGACAAGAGTGTAACAGATCAAAAGGCACCCTGACTGGGTACCTCCGTTGAAGGATGCTCCTAGCGCTTCCTGAGGGTTCCAAGCACTCCAGCAGACACCATAACCACCGTAGGCTCCTTCAGAGAGCGAAGCAGGAACAAGCTCTTACAAGAGCTTAGTAGTGATTTAGCAAGGGAGTATGACAAGCATAGCAATACCTTGTAGTAGATTCCCCCAATAAGAGACGGCACTCCAAATTGAGGGTGAAGTAGAACTGAAGCTTTTAATCAAACACTCTGCTTTTATGCACATTTTACAAACATAGTACTGCCCACAGGGTTTTGCAGAACAACCAATCAATATGTACAATACACTCAGACACTCCCACACAAAATCCTGCCCTCTGCGTGTGTTATAATTACTGAACACTATGGGTTAATGTACTTATCACAAGCAGAGAAAATATACAGTTTTTACACAATATTAATAACTTTCAAAATATACATGCCATTTTCAGAATCAGCATACTCCATATACAAACATACTTAAAAATCAGACAATTCCTTCCATTGGTTTAAAAGTTAGGTCAAAGTCATTTGTGACCACTGAGGCATGGCTTTCCAGCCAAAACAAGTTCCACATAGTCCTCTATCCTGGAGATAATTGGCTTAACTGGGTGTGGTAAGCCAACTATCTCCAGGTACAGAACATGTCTCTATTCACAACAACAGCAAAAATACACAAAAATACATAATTCCTATCATACTGAACAGAACCCCCACATTCAACCTACCCCCAGATGACTTGGATCTAAACGCTAAATATATCCAAAATAGAACGGTTCTGGTGTACCTAATGTACCACACAGGAGAGAGGGAGATAGACTAGCACTAAGCTGCTCGAAAACTGGTAATGATAGGGATTCACTAAAAACCTATTTAGAACAAGGGAAAAGAACTCTCTAGAAGAGTGGGAATACCAGGAGCTGGCTATGTGACTAATGGCTAAAATACTACTACATAGAGAATAAAAATATAAAAATATATATATGGTACTATGCCTTTAAATCTGGAATGAACAAAGTATCCCTATAAGTGTGCAAAAATGTGAATAAAGGTGCTATGAGTGGAGATCTCAAATAAATGGGATATCCCTTTAAATATTCAAAAATACAAAGAGAATGCTACTATACCTTTAAATGTCCTTTAAGAGTGTGCAAACATGCAAAGCAGTGCTATATAGGGGGGTGATAAATAAAAAAAGAAAAACGTATATATATATATATATATATATATATATATATATATATATATATATATATAATAAATAAATACAAAAATACAAAAAGGGGAAAGATGAGAGACCAAATTCTCTGCTGGATGACCAAAAAATATGTATGAAACTGGTGTCTATATCCCAAACAACATGAGGGATAAATGATACCTGTTGCAAATAATATACTTAGTAAAAGATAGAAGTAAAAAAATAAGCTATACAGTACAAGGAACTGTTAGCTTTTGGCAATAAAAATGAAAACAATATATCGCTGGAAAACTGAAGCATAAAACTGGATCACTTCATATAAGAAAAAAATGCCAGTTTATTGAATATATTAAAATAACTTTGAAAAAAGTTAAATATAAAAATACAGGTCACACTAGATTCAGAAATGCATTACCAGACTGATGCATTGAGAAATAACAGCAAGGACCTTCGGATTGTTAAGGATGGATACGTGAAATAAATAAATATATCCAAACAGCGCTCAGATCCCACAAACACAGTCAAATCACCATGGGGTTTAAGTTTAGCATGGGCTGATGAGAGGGTCCATAGTCATGAGGCAGGAGGCAGGCAATCAGGCTTCTCCATAACCCAGTGGCGAGGCTAGTTTAGCCACATCCATGGGAATTTTCCACTATACTCTCAGAGTAAGATATGGTGTTAGATTTAGTGAATAAGAATGGAAAGAACAACTTACTCTTAGCAATTCTGTTCTATCATTTCATTCCATAAAGCTCTGCCTGATATATTCAAAAGTAATAACTCTTGACTTTGCCATTTTAAGAATGATTTCAATTTGTATCAGGCCCCAGGGAGTGTGCGCAGCTTAGCGGACAATGGCACATGTATGATTGTGGGAATGGATGAAACAGGATGGGCTGTGTTTATGTTGGGGGAGTGTGGTATGAGAGGAAGTGGGTGGTGACAATTGGGACTGACCTCAGTGCCACTTAGGAGCCAGGCCAGCAACAAGTTTTCCACCAACCTTCCCTTTTGTTTTTTGGGCCCGGGGAGTCACAGCGAGGGGGGGAGGTGTTTTTTTGCAGGTTAGATGAAGGTGGGGGGTAATGGCCGGGTCTCATCCTCACCTGTCTCTTTGGTGAACCTTAAGGGGTACCAAGTTGGACGTGTCCCCACCGAGCTAAAGCCAGCTGGTGGGGAGCGTTATGGTCGGGCCCCACCGAGCTAAAAGCCTGCTGGTGGGGTGCCAAAAAGGCAAGAGGAGTTTATTATGCCGAGGGGGGAGGTGAGAGCTTTTGGGAAGAAGGAATGAGATTGGCAAGGACGTGTTGGACAAGTACTGTATGACATCATGCAAGTATTTACATGTTATTTATTTATGAGAATATTATGTAAAGTTATACATTGAAGGCGTCATGCAGTATTTGTGTTTTAATAAATGCCGTGGCCTGTTACTTCCAAGATTTGGTGTCTGTCTTTATTTGGGGGGAAGCTATGGTTTGGTAAAAGTTCATCCCATCCAATGCCCACTACATACATACATGTATACTAACCTTTGGTTAAATACTAGTGTTACCTAGTAAAATACTAGTATTTGCTTATGCTAATCTGCTTTGATGTCTTATTTCAATAATGTATTGTTAAAATTGATGCTAGGTGACAGTCTGTGTCTGTAAATTTGAAAAATTCAATACACATTTCTAATTCAATTTCTCTTGTTGTTTGTGTGCTTTGTTTTTTGTAATTTTCTTTTATCATTTTTTTTCAATATCTACAAGACATAAATCATACGCGATGTAACTAACTAAAATATTTGAGCAGCAACCATTAGGGGATAGATTCATTAAATAACAAATAGAAGGGGTAACTTGGATGAAGTAAATTCAACACATTTTTGTTTTTCATTTTGGAGTTCAAAATGCAGCTACACACAACTACAAATTGTTGTTTTGTGTATAGGCTGGAGCACACAAGTATAATATTTATCCCATACTGATGATGTAATTATCTGATACCTTAAAGGAACACTATAGTCACCTAAATTACTTTAGCTAAATAAAGCAGTTTTAGTGTATAGATCATTACCCTGCAAATTCACTGCTCAATTCACTGTCATTTAGGAGTTAAATCACTTTGTTTCTGTTTATGCAGCCCTAGCCACACCTCCCCTGGCTATGATTGACAGAGCCTGCATGAAAAAAAAACTCGTTTCACTTTCAAACAGATTTAATTTACCTTAAATAATTGTATCTCAATCTCTAAATTGAACTTTAATCACATACAGGAGACTCTTGGAGGGTCTAGCAAGCTATTAACATAAGGGGATAAGAAAATCTTAATTAAACAGAGCTTGCAATAAAGAAAGCCTAAATAGGGCTCTCTTTACAGGAAGTGTTTATGGAAGGCTGTGCAAGTCACATGCAGGGAGGTGTGAGTAAGGTTCATAAATAGTGGTGTTGCGAACCGTTCGCGAACTTCCCGCGAACAGCTCGCCACGGTTCGCCACGAACCGTTCGTGGCGAGCTCCGGTCAGCTGACACATCCGGGCCAATCTCCAGCAGACCCTCCCTCCCAGACCCTCCCACCTCCTGGACAGCATCCATGTTGAAGTTCGCGAACGGTTCGCGACATCACTATTCATAAACAAAGAGATTTAACTCCTAAATGGCAGAGTATTGAGCAGTGAGGCTGCAGGGGCATGTTCTATACACCAAAACTGCTTCATTAAGCTAAAGTTGTTCAGTTGACTATAGTGTCCCTTTAAATATACCTAGTGCCCTATTTGTAGGGAGTGTTGGGAAGCCAACAGTGCACATATCAAATGGTTCCTTTTGAACTTCATCAGCTTTTGTAAATTGCTATCAAATGGCAATAACAAGATAAGGAAGTAGGATAGTATAGCAAAAGTCTGTATTTTACAGACACAGACGACATCGACTTTACATTGACTGGCCAATAACATAGTGCTCACAAACTTGTATATAGTGCTCACAAATTGACAGGCTAGGAAAGTAAGTTAGGATAAAAAAGGTATACATTTATAAGAACTACATGACTTTTGGAATAAAGTGAGTAATGTTAGGAGGATTGGGATGTGGGGTTAAAGATGAGGGATATGGTGGTCTAGCATTAGGTCTCCCCCGTCGGATGACGTCGGAAGGAGCGTGGGCAGACCCTAAACAAGCGCCGAGGGATATCGGCGCTGGTCTCAGGTAAGTCACTGAAGGGGTTCTAACCCCTTCAGCAACCTGGGATGGGGGGTGGGAGGTTTGTTTTCCTGGCACTGGAGAGTCCCTTTAAGCTCAGAGGAGTATCGGAATCCCTGGGGATAACAGACTTACCCCACTTCATCCGGAGGTTTATGGCGGCCTTCCTCTCACCAAACAAGCCAAGGCCGTGAGACTAGACGGCATGTTCCGCCTCCCTAAGCCGGCAGGAGCACCGCAGGCCACCGCTCCTGATCTCATTCTCTGATTCCAGTAACTGCAGGACAAAGCCTTGCTTCGTGCTGCAGTAAGGGGGGAAACCCCGATTTCCTTTGAAGGCACCACGCATGAATACCCTGAATTGACGCCAGTCTATGCGACCTCTCCTGCAGTGCTATGGTCCTGGGATGTCCCTTACCGGTGAGGCCTTCCACGAGCCATCCTGCTCACCACACACAGCAAGACATACCGTGCAGGTACATACCAGGAGCTGGAAGATCACATGTGAGCCCAGGGTATTCTGCCATCAGCTGAGGCTGTGGAGACAGACTTATCCCGCTTGAACCCAGCGAGGATCCAAGAGTTTGTACCTTGCGCAGCTCATACCACCTCGTCCTCCAGAGCAGTGACCTAATTGAAGGATTGGAAAATGTACCCCAGAACTCACTGTTCCTGCATCAACAGTGACTCTCTCCCTCTCTCCTCTATCCACCACTAAACTGTCACAAAATGTATGCTTTTCTTATTGTCTTTATTAACTCAGTATTGTTGCATTAATTTAGTTACTTTTCCACACATCACAGACGGTCCCCACCTTTTATTTAAATTATTGATTACTACTTTTATTTATGAGGTAACCTAGATCTCAGGCTGACTACTAAGACCAGATTACACAGGTTATCAAGCTGGTTCACTACCCAATCCAATACAGAGCCACACGTAATTACTCACCCTCTCTCCCTCACCTTCCCCTCCACCCAGGGGCGTACCTAGAGCATTTGGCACCCGGGGCGGATCCTGTGCTTGGCACCCCCCCCAACCCTCCCAAAAAAAACCTGTAAAAAATGTTAAAGGTTTTATTTCTTTTATTTTTACAATTTGTAAACTTTGCAAAACCGCTGTCAGCCCCTCCTACAAAACCCTTGTCCTGCCCTGCCCCATCTACAAAACCTCTGTCCTGCCCCTTCTACAAATCCTGTACTGCCCCATCTACAAAACCCCCGCAACCCCCTTCCACAAATCCCCTGCTTATCCCCCCTTATAAAGACTCCTGTCCCAATACAAAACCCCCACCCCCTTCTACAAAATCCCTGCAGCCCCACACACACATTTACAGGCAGACAGTCACACACTCAGTTACAGACACAGTCACACACTCAGTTACAGACACAGTCACACACTCAGTTACAGACACAGTCACACACTCAGTTACAGACAGACAGTCACACACTCAGTTACAGGCAGACAGTCACACACAGTCACAGGCAGACAGTCACACATACACATTTCCTCCGTGCGGCCAGTTTATCAGCTGTTTGCTTGAATGAGCTGTACTGGCCGCACGGCACCCTAACTACCATGGGACACTGTGCGGCCACAGCTCACACAGCCCCCTCCAGCCAGGGCCGGTACAAGGATTTTTGCCGCCAAAGGCAAAAGTAAAGTTTGCCGTCCCCCATGTGACATCACAATGTCCCAGCCATATGATTTGCCATGTTAACTAACGCCAGTGCTGCAGTGCCGCCGTGTTTACATTAAAAGGCCTGCAGGGACAGGCTATAGACACCAGAACCACTACATTAAGCTGAAGTGGTTCTGGGGACTATAGTGTTTCTTTAATGTGAGGTAAATTAGAGCTTAGCCACAGAATAATATACTAGATTTGCCTACCTGGCCAGATGAGGATGATGATGGGCTCTAGCTGAAGTCTGGCTCCACTGGTCTGGTGCAGAACAGGCTCTCTGGAGGCGGTTTGTAACTGTGGTCACAAAAATCAATGTTCTGGGAGAGCGGGAAGCAGCTCCATTTTTTGGGGGGTCCTTTACACAGCTCAAGGTCTGGGTCCCAGGGTCCACCTTCATGTTCCACCAATGAGTTTGTTCACAGGGGGGTGGAGTGTGTAGGGGATGTCCTGATATGTGTGTAAGGAATGCATTGTGTGAAATTGTGTTTGTATGTGTAAGGACTGCAAGGTGTGTTTCTGTGTATGTATGGGATGCATTGAATGTGTGTAAGGGGTGCATTGAGTGTGTGTAATGAATGCATTGTGTGTTTCTGTGTGTGTAAGGGATGCATTGTGTGTAGCGGTTGCATTGCTTGTGTATGTGTGTCTGTGTGTTTTTCTGTGTGCAAGGGGTGCATTGTGTGTATGTGATGAATGTCAATCTCTCCTCCCGCTCCAATTTCCTTCTCCTCCTCCCAATTTCTCTCTCACCCCTGCTCCTATTTTCTCTCACCCCCCCTCCTTTCTCTCTCACCCACCCTCCTTTCTTTCTCACCCACCCCCCTTATTTCTCTCTCACCCCCCCTTATTTCTCTTTCTCACCCCCCCTTATTTCTCTTTCTCACCCCCATATTTCCTCTCACCCCTTATTTCTCTCTCACCCCCATTTCTCTTTCTCACCCCCTTATTTCTCTCTCACTTGTTCTCTCTCACCCCCCTTGTCTCTCTTTCTCACCCCTTATTTCTTTTTCTCACCCCTCTCCCACCCCCTTGTTCTCTTTCTCACCCCTCTCTCCTCCTGTTTCTCTTCTCACCCCCCCTTCTCTCCCCCCTCCCCTGCCTCCCTGCTTGGCGTGGCGAGCCTGTATAGTCCTTGAGGTACAGGGGAGCTTTTGTTCTGTACCCGGCCGGACTAACAGGAAGTGCACACTCGTGCACTTCCTGTTAGTCCGGCCGGGTACAGGAGACAGCTGCTCTCTGTACCCGTTGAGCGCTCCCTCCTGTCAGCCTCTCCTCAGGCTGCGCCCGGGCAGTGCGGTCCGCCCTCATGGACGCACCGCCCGGGCAAAGCTGCAGCCGCCTGAGGCTCTTCACAGAGCGCTCGGGCGGCTGCAGCATGGGGGGGGGGCGGCGGGGCTGGCCATGGCACCCCCCACCCGGCTGGCACCCGGGGCGGACCGCCCCCCCCGCCCCCCCCTTAGTACGCCACTGCCTCCACCATGTGGATAAACAGCTACATAATCATACAATACTCTTACACAGGGGGCAATACACCTACTCTTCACAGGAACCTTAGTTTTACGTTGTTCGACATGACCTTATGGGAACATTTATTTAGTTCCACTATATAGTATTTCCTTTTGTTCTCTCACAATATAAACAAAAACAAAAAACTCACTCCACACTGCTTAGCAAAGGCCCAGTTAGGGCATCATCTTATCTTTCTATTATTGTGGATTTTTATTTACGACGCTCGCTGGACACTGTAGTGCCTACTTGTCTGTGTTGTACTCCCACGTGGAGTGAGAAAAATAAAAATAAAGTATTTAAATCTAATTTAACTCCTTAAGGACTGAGCCAAATGTACACATTTTGATCAAAATAAAACTTAAACAAAACTTGGAATTTGGCTATAAGTCTCTTCAACCGTAATTCACCTCTTTGATATTAAGTGCATCCACACTTATTATATATCATTTTATTCAGGAGAAACAGGGCTTTCATTTAACATCAAATATTGAGCTATGAAACATAATTTAATATGAATAAAATATAAAAAATGTGAGAAATTAAGAAAAACATTTTTTTTAGTTCTACGTGACATTCTAACTGTGAATGTCATAATACTGTTTGCTTTTACTGCAATAAATTACACATATTTGTATTCAGTAATGTCTCATGTGTAAAACTGTACCCCCTATGTACAGGTTTTATAGTGTTTTGGGAAGTTACAGGGTCAAATATAGCATGTTAAATATTATAGCTCAGGAATGAGAATTACCCCCATGATGGCATACCATTTGCAAAAGGTTATTGCAAATGGGGTATGTCCAGTCTTTTTTAGTAGCCACTTACTCACAAACACTGGTCAAAGTTGGCGTTAATATTTGTTTGTGTGTGAAAAATGCAAAAAACTAATTCGAATGCCAATTTTGGCCAGTGTTTGTGAGCCGTTTAGAGCCGGGTCCCCAATGAAGGGGTTAACATACATAATATATATATATATATATATATATATATATATATATATATATATATATATATATATGTTATATATGTTGTGTAAGTTATGACTTTATCAAGGTATTATGGACTCATCTTGTAGCCAGCTGACCATGCATGAACATTCAAATCTATACCTCATAAATGGTGTTGCCTAGCAACAAACCAAACATACAGAACAAGTGGAATTATGATGTAAAATGATCTGGGGTTCATTATCTGTTATATCCAGTGCTGAGTAAGCAGTGATTAACAGTTATTCCAGTGATAACCACATTGGATCAATTTGAAAGACAAGCAGTATTTAAAATGGAGGAAAACTCCAAAATATCTGAACCTGGGGAGCAACAAAACGACCTGCTGTAGGTTTATTTTATATATATTTATTACTAATGCAATCCGTTTATTAGAAAGTATATCCCTTGGTATCTATTTGTATGGCAGTCCAGCTATATATAATTTAACAGATTAAGATTACTGGGTGATATATTTTAAAGTTGTTCATCATTTCAATGTTCAATAAATAACTTGCGGCCCTGGACATTATAACCTCGACCTTAGTGGATACAAGAGCTATAATCATTATTTTAATGTTAATTTCACTAATTGAAATTATTTTTTTACACTTGGTAATGAAAAGGATTCAATGTAGATGTCCATTATGTTTACAGATTATCCAATTTTTAAAATAAACAGTGTACGAGGTCTATTCTGTAGGCCCCAAACAGCTACTGAATGGTATTTGGTTATAAATATTTGTTGTTTTTTTAACTGAAATATAGCTAATCATTATTTGCATTGGTAACTGGTTGCCATTTGCTCAGCTGTTAATTTAGCAGAACCTCTATCTAAATGTGCTTTTCAAACTAATCATAAATTTAGTTCAGATCAAATTCCCTGATGGGAACCCTGTAACCCTAAATTAACCAAAAACAGTACTCCTACCCAGAAGGGGTGGCTCTGAAAACACTTCCTGCTGAATTTTATGATTTGTAAATAACTGTAATTACTTTTTTATAAAATATATCAACATAACTGATATGTTTGTTTATTATTTATCTTTCAAACTATTAGACATTTTATAATTTTTTATTTATTTATGCATAGAAATTGGTACATAATGCTTAGTAAGGTATGAAACGTAGCATTGTTACAGTACAAACCACGAATAATCCAAAACTTTGCACATATTTCACAAATACCAGTAAATGTAGACATTTTATTTTAATTACACTTTTATACCAAAGAAGGAGCTGTGCAATACATTATGGAGAAGATATAGCACATGCACATATGCATTTCTGTGCACTATGTTGTATAAATTATGTTTGTATTAAGGTATTATGAGCTCATCAAAACCTCTCAATGCTTGTAGCCAGCTGATCATGCATGAACATTGCACTCTACTTCACAGCTGGCATTGCCTAGCAACACACCAAACAAAAAGTTGCAAAGTGGGATTATGATGTAAATTTATGATGTATCTGGGGTTCATTATCTGTTACATCCAGGGCTGAGTAAGCAGTGATTAACAGTTATTCCAGTGATAACCACATTGGATCAATTTGAAAGACAATTAGCATATAAAATGGAGGGGAATACTGAAATAGCTGAACCTGAGGAACAACAAAATGGCTTGCTGTAGGTTTATATTAAAATGGTTTACTTATATAATGTAGTAATATTGTTAGAAAGTAAGTTCCCTGATAACTAGATACAATTAATTTAAAGGACAGCCAGTAACAAAATGATAGTTAATGAATGTGTGCTTGCTCACACGTGCATTCAATTCTATTGGTTAAAGGGACACTATGGTCACTAGAACAACTACAGCTTATTGAATTTGTTCTGGTGAGTAGAATCATTACCTTCAGGCCTTTTGCTGTAAACACTGTCTTTTCAGAGAAAATGCAGTGTTTACATTACAGCCTAGTGCTAACTTCACTGGCCACTCCTCAGATGGCTGTTAGATATCCTTCCTGGGTCATGGCTGCCTAAAATGCATCCAGACATTCAGTGTCTCCTCCCTCTGTATGCAGACACTGAACTTTCCTCATAGAGATTCATTGATTCAATTCATCTCTATGAGGAGATGCTGATTGGCCAGGGCTGTGTTTGAATTGTGCTGGCTCTGCCCCTGATCTGCCTCTTTGTCAGTCTCAGCCAATCCAATGAGGAAGCATTGTGATTGGATCAGGCTACCACTTCTGCTGATGTCAGCAGGCAGTGGTCAGGTCTAAAGGAAACAGTGACAAAGTAAGCAGCTTCAGGCTTGAACTCAAGTAAGATTTTACTATATTTAGGGAGGCATGAGGGACCAGGTGGGCTAGATGGTGGTTTTAACCCTATAGGGTCATTTATATATGTTTGTGTTCCTGACCCTATAGTGCTCCTTTAATATTACTGGGTGGTTATAACATAGCCACTTGCTGGTCACTATCAGAGCTATGTTTAGTATATTAATGCTAATTTCACTAACTGAAAAACTACTCTGCATTCAGTTACACCTCGAGTTTGGTGGAATTTGATTGGCATAGCATACAATGGATTGTAGTTAATCATTTGGGTTTTACCGCACATATTACTAATCTCAACACAGCTGAGGTGTAATAGTCACTACGTCATATCCCTTATTTCTCTAAAACAATTGCCAACTTTGATAAATGCTTTTAACCCCTTAAAACCGCAACCAGTGGCGTACACACAACCCATGGGGCCCCGGTGCAAAAACTGATCCGTGGGCCCCCTCTGCCCCGCGCTTACTCTGCGCAGGGTGCCAGGTCCCTCTAGTTTTAACCCTGCAGCTGAAAACATAGCAGTTTCATAGAAACTGCTATGTTTCACTGAGGGTTAATCTAGCCTCTAGTGGCTGTCTCACATCCGCTAGAGGAGCTTCCACGATTCTCACTGTGAAAATTACAGTGAGTAGACGCTGGTTGTCCATAGGAAAGCATTGAGTAATGCTTTCCTATGGGCGGTTTGAATGCGCGCGCGGCTCTTGCCACGCATGCACATTCGGAGCTGAGAGGCGGATCGGAGCGGAGAGATCCCCAGCGCCAAGGGAGTCCAGCGCCAGAGAAAGGTAAGCGCTTAAGACACACACACACTCACTCTCACGAACAGACACACACATTTACTGACAGACACACACTCAGTGACATACATACACACTCACTGACAGACAGACACACACACTCACTCACTTACAAAACACACACTCACTAACAGACACACACAAACTAACACACTCAGTAACAGACACACACAGTAACACACTCACTGACACACTCTAACACTAACACACACACACACTAACACACACACTCTAACACTAACACACACACACACTCTAACACTAACACACACTAACACACACACACTCTAACACACACACACTAACACACACTAACACACACACACTTACGTTTAAAAAAAAAAAATTAATCCCCCCAGCCTCCTTACCTTAGGGAGTGCTGAGGGGATTCCGTGGGGTCCAGGGGTATCACCGGGTGGGCAGGCTGGCTGGCGCGCGAGGGAGCACTCTCCCTGACTGAGTGCTTCTTCTTCAGCTCCCTCGAGTGCCACGTACTGATGCCGGAGCCGGAATATGACGTCATCTTCCGGCTCCGGTATCAGTGCGGTGCGCGAGGGAGCTGAAGAGGAAATATATATATGATCTAAGTATGTATTATTTATTTTTACACTGTTTTAACTTATTTTACTTCATTTTCAGACAGCAAGGGAAGTACCTGTCATTACAGGCACTCCCACTGCTGGCAATGACTTGGACGGCTATGCCGTCCATGTGATCGCGAGGTCCTCGCAAGGACCTCGCGATCACATGGCCCAGAGGGGCCGAAGAGGATGGAGGGGGACTCCCTGGGCTCCCAGGTAAGTCCCCATACCGCGATCGCTGGCGTGGGATCGGCGGTGACCGGGTAAGTACATAAAATCACTGGGTGTTCTATGCCGCCCTGCGGCGTTTAGAGACATCAAAATAGGGATGGCATAGAACGCCCTGCGGTCTTAAGGGGTTAATTACGCTAAAAGATATGAATGTGAAAGGACCACTATAAAATATGAATAGCAGCAAATTTGCAATCAGACCCCTTTTTGGCACTGAGAGGATAGTGAAATTAACAGACAAATCTAATTAAACTGCACAAATAAAATATGTTGCAGAAATTGAAATAATATGCTTTAAGAACATATTATCCCATTATTAATCTGATTAAAATGTCAAACAACTTAGATGGTTTAAGATTGGGACTGTACTTAGCATTGGGTTACAATTAACCTCTTTCCTGTTTTTCCCTCAGTAAATTGGAGGAACATGAAGTCCTGTACTCTGAAACTAACGAATATGAAGTGCTAGAATTCTTGGGCAGTGGCACCTTTGGGCAGGTTGTAAAATGTGTAAATAAAGGAACCAGTGAGAAAGTGGCCATCAAAATGTTAAAGAACCACAGATATGTCACTGAAGATGCAGAAGCTGAGATAAACATCCTGACCCAGCTGAACAAGGAATGCCCAGACAAATTCAATGTCATCAAAGCCTACGAGTTTTTCCTGTACAACAATATCATCTGCCTTGTGTTTGAGATGCTACATATGAGTCTCTTTGACTATATGGAATCATTTGGTGGCTCGTTTCCTGTGAAAATGATCCGCCCTATCGTGGCGCAGGTGGCCTTTGCATTGACAAAGCTCAAAAGTCTAGGAATCATTCATACAGACTTGAAGCCAGACAACATCATGCTGGTAGACAATTTCATGCACCCATTGAAAGTCAAGGTGATAGACTTTGGGTGTGCATTCCATGTGTCCAAGGCTCGATGTTCGAGTTATATACAAGCAAGATTTTATAGGTAAGAGACATTCATTAAGTATAATTTACATTTCAATGGAGCTTGTCAGTGCACGCATATCTTCTACTTTTATAAAATGAGTTTAAAGAATATGGTAATCAGATTGGGTTCATTTTTCTGTCTATTAAATATTTGGTGACATTAGTGAACCAGTTTATGGCTTCTGGAGGAGTTTATCAACCAAGTATCTCTACACATACACAAGTGCTCTTACAGTGGGCATATTTTATACACAGTTTCCCCAAGTGACATGACCAAGCCTTCTTATATTTCCCTTTTTGGTAACTTGCAGGTCTCCAGAAATTATATTGGGATATCCATTCTGTGAGGCTATTGACATGTGGTCTTTGGGATGCATCACGGCGGAGCTGTTCATAGGATGTACTTTATATCCCGGAGCATCTGAATATGATCAGGTGAGTGTAAATCTAACTGTTATTTATGTCTAATTGTAAATTACGGCCTCAGTCAAGAATCCAGAATTAATTCAGATAGAAAGGTATCATGTAGCTGTTTTATTTGATTGTGCAGACAGGAGTCAAAGTGCAATGTAAAATGACATAAATAATTTAATTTATAATTAAAGAAGTTTATTCACTAAACAAGGAATTCAAGTGAATTAAAGATACAAAACTGCACAATGTAAGCAAAAGTGCAGATTTGGAAGAGCTCTCCAACGGAAGAATTCTGCAACCCAACTGCGGACACACCTGTCAACCTGTATTTTGGATTATAGTTATATATTAAACTCCCGATTTAAAACGTAACAATATTTGTGTTTTACAGCTGGAAACAATTTGCAAAATTATTATCCTTATGGCAAAGAAAAGGTTAAAGTTTTAGATAAAACAAAAAAATCTCCAGCATTACAAAGTGATGTCAGACAGGTTTTGTTTTGTTTGTATAGTTAATCCCTTCAGGACGGAGTCAATAGTACACGTTCTGCTCAAAACAAAACATAAACAAAAACTGGAATTTGCGCTATATGTCTGTTCAACCATAATTCGCTGCTGTCACATTAAATGCACCCACACTTATTATATATAATTTTGTTCAGGAGAAACAGGGCTTTAATTTATCATTAACTATTCATATATGGAACATGATTTATTATGAATAAAAATTTTAAAAAATTAGAGAAAATAAGATTTTTTTTTTAAATTTGTATTTCCGTCTGACATTTTAGCTGTGAATGTCATAATACTGTTAGGTTTTACTGCAAAACAATGCACATATTTGTGATCAGCGATAAAGTTACAGGGTCAAATATAGAACGTTCCATTTTCATATTGAAATTTGCCAGATTAGTAATGTTACCTCTGAGACGGTGTGGTAGCCCAGGATTGAGAATTACCCCCATAATGGCATACCATTTGAAAAAGTGGACAACCCAAGGAATTGAAAGTGGGGTATGTTTAGTCTTTTTTTAGTAGCCACTAAGTCACAAACACTGGCCAAAGTTAGTGTTCATATTTGTTTTTGTGTGAAAAAAGCAAAAAACTAATATTTGGCTAGTGTTTGTGACTAAGTGGCTACTAAGAAAGACTGGACATACCCCACTTGCAATAACTTGGGTTGTCTACTTTTGCAAATGGTATGCCATCATGGGGTAATTCTCATTCCTGGGCTACCATACGCTCTCAAAGGCAACATAACCAATCTGGCAAATTTCAATGTAAAAAAAATGAAATGCAAGCCTTATATGTGACTCTCTAACTTTCCAAAACACCATAAAACCTGTACATGGGGGGTACTGTTATTCTCAGGAGACTTCACTAAACACAAATATTAGTGTTTTTTCAAACAGTAAAACATATTACAACAATAATATAGTCCATAAAAGTGCCGTTCGTTTGTAAAAAATTCAAAAAAATTAAATTTTACTTAAAATATCTTCGTTGTAATACAATTTATCATTTTGAAACACTAATATTTGAGTTCAGCAAAGTATCCCGAGTAAAACAGTCCCCCCTATGTACAGGTTTTATGGTGTCTTGGAGAGTTAAAGGGTCAAATATAGTGCTTGCGAATTAAATTCTCTGCACTTTCTCCCTGTGTTGTCATGCATGTCAATCAAATTTTAATTAATCAAATCACATAATTATGTTAAAAGATTACTTAAATATACACGTAGAATTTTAATATATATGCATTTATAGGTATGTATAGGCATTTGTAGGTATTTAAATTCTACGTGTATACTAATGTAATTTTTTATGTAATTATAGGTATTTATCTATAAATATATATATTTGCGTTTTTTTGTATTTTTTTGTATTTTATATATAGATATATATAGAATGTCATTCTAAGTGTATTTTGTTACCAATATATATATATTAATAACAAAATAGAGTTAGAATGAAATTACATATGAATATATAATTTATATTAAATTTTGTTTCAATATGTTATTTATTTTATTATTTTATTTATTTATTATTGTAATTATACGTATGTATATATATATATATATATATATATATATATATAATATATGTGTATATATCTATTATATATATAATATATATACATATTATATATATAGTCAAAAATGGGTCGCAAGAGAATACTGAGGACGGATCTGGACTGCCCGTATGGGTGGGACCAGTCTGATATGCTTCAGATATGTTCTCTCTGTAATGGCACAAGTTGAGCTAAAACCAGCTTGAGTTCTGGGCGGGGACCCACCGAAGGGCAGGCTATTTTAGCTGCTGTCCGTCCTCAGAATACTCTTGCGACCCATTTCTTGCTCTCCATTAGTTTAAAGGGTAATCCAGACGTGGACCCCTTGCTCACGGTGCCTAGAGAGATATCAGCTATGCCTAACTGTCGATGCCTAACAAGGCTGAAACGATCGTCTGGGGTTGCTGTATCTCTCGTGCAGAGAGAACTTGCTGGCATTTCGGATCTGGACTGCCTGTATGTGTGGGACCAGTCTGATATGCTTCAGATATGTTCTCTCTGTAATGGCACAAGTTGAGCTAAAACCAGCTTGAGTTCTGAGCGGGGACCCACCGAAGGGCAGGCTATTTTAGCTGCTGTCCGTCCTCAGAATACTCTTGCGACCCATTTTTTGCTCTCCATTAGTCTAAAGGGTAATCCAGACGTGGACCCCTTGCTCACGGTGCCTAGAGAGATATCAGCTATGCCTCACTGACGATGCCTAACAAGGCTGAAGCGATCGTCTGGGGTTGCTGTATCTCTCGTGCAGAGAGAACTTGCTGGCATTTCGGATCTGGACTGCCCGTATGGGTGGGACCAGTCTGATATGCTTCAGATATATTCTCTCTGTAATGGCACAAGTTGAGCTAAAACCAGCTTGAGTTCTGAGCGGGGACCCACCGAAGGGCAGGCTATTTTAGCTGCTGTCCGTCCTCAGAATACTCTTGCGACCCTTTTCTTGCTCTCCATTAGTTTAAAGGGTAATCCAGACGTGGACCCCTTGCTCACGGTGCCTAGAGAGATATCAGCTATGCCTCACTGACGATGCCTAACAAGGATGAAACGATCGTCTGGGGTTGCTGTATCTCTCGTGCAGAGAGAGCTTGTTGGCATTTCGGATCTGGACTGCCTGTATGGGTGGGACCAGTCTGATATGCTTCAGATATGTTCTCTCTGTAATGGCACAAGTTGAGCTAAAACCAGCTTGAGTTCTGAGCGGGGACCCACCGAAGGGCAGGCTATTTTAGCTGCTGTCCGTCCTCAGAATACTCTTGCGACCCATTTCTTGCTCCTCATATTATATATATGTAACGTCATTCTAAGTGTATTTTAATACTAATATATGTACTTATATTAATATTAAAATACACTTTGTATGATGTTACATATATATAATATATATATATTATATATATAATAAATATACATCTATTATATATATATAAATACATTTAATTAATTTTACACATGTTTATTTATTTAGTTTTTTCATTTCCCACCAGCAGGGGGACTGTCTGATATTTCAGACAGTCCCCCTGCTGGCAGATCCACAGCCAGCTATTTTTGAGAGCGATCACATGGCCCCTGGGGGCCTCATTTGCCGAGGGAGGGCTGCCTGGGCTGTCAGGCAGCCCTCCAGAAGATTATCGTGGCGGAGGTAAGTCCACCGGACCCCCAGGGGCTATGCCGCCGCAGTGGCTTTAAAGCCCTTTTAATGCAGGATGGCATAGAGCGCCGTAACGGCGTTAAGGGGTTAAACCCTTTATATATTTACTATACAATGGAGGTTAATTTACCTAATTTCTCATGTATTACTAAAGAAAATGTTAGTTATTGATAAGTTATGAGAATCCAGTTAATCAGACTGAGTAGAAGCTGGTGATTATGGGTATGTTACGGTTTTGATGCCGGTATATGAAGCTCTTGCTTCCTCCCTGCAGATCCGCTACATCACCGAAACCCAGGGTTTACCCAATGAAAACATGCTCAACAGGGGAACAAAGACCCATCTTTTCTTTAGAAGAAAAATGCATTACCAGCAAGTATTATGGAGATTAAAGGTAAGGGCTTAACTGTATTTCTATAAAATAAAATTCAGGACAAGGGTTAAACAAATCCAGTAATATGTCCCAGCACATACTCTACCATGAAGTGGTTGAAGCAACATTCCAGGATTTCTATATCATTTATTTTTTTAAACCAAATAAAAGTTTACACACCGACTTGCAGTAATTCAGTAATTTGGAAGTTTAGACGAGATAAAGCTTAATTAACTGTTCCCCAGTGAAGAGTTAACTACCATTTCCCCTTTTCTCAGCCGGCTTTGCAGACAAAATGTATTTAAAAATAAACTTTCACAACAACATAGTAATAAAAATATACCGAACTGTTTTGACTCTGTGAAAGCTACTGGATAAGTTAATGGCAGAACATGTTTCATGGTTCAGTACATTATCAGAAAACTCATTGGGATGCTGGAGAATTCTACAATGAAGGTTTTTTCCTTTTTAGAAACTAATTGAGAATCTTGTTTTCCCTTTCCTCTAGTCTAAAGACCACTACGAATGGGAGACTGGTATTAAACCATTAGAAAGAAGGATAAATATCTTCAGTTGTCTTGATGACTTTGCAAAGGTACTGTATTCCCATTTACCTAAAATAGTAGGTTACACAGCATCTTCCCATCACACATGTGATATTTTTTACAATATTTTGGATAGACAACAAAAATACTTGAAAACTGCTTGGTTGGTCAAGCACAGATGAGGTAGTGGAGCAATCACTTTGTTCCTAATGTTAGGTATGAGGAGCAACAGTATGTATGTGCATGGTTCATACGGGAGCCCAAAAAACAGTGTGCACCTTAAGATAAATACATGTTTAAACTTTTACCATCTCTGCTTATATGTACTTTAGTTTTGTTTCAATTTAATGTAATTACCCTTTTTCTTTTGAATATGTATTATTAACATTTACCTGTTTGGTTCCAATAGCTCATAAAAACATAACATAAGAACCCCTTTCTTGTTTTGTAACACCTCTATCTTGTCTTGAGTTTCCAATTTTGTTACAGGAGTCTAATGCTCTCATTAGGCATTTTTTAACCCAAAATTGAAAGAAGCAAGGTGAATTGTTAGTATGGGCCCTTCCTCAGAGGTTTACCTTGATGTGGTAGATGAGCTTACACTCAAGTGGCCACTGGAGTGATAATAAAAACTTCCAGTTATTTAAATGTGCATAGGAATTCGGGAAATGGCGCAAGTAACTATTTTCTTTGGCTTTTATGGCTACATCAGTCTACAAACCAAAACAATGTTGCCATCGACATGATGGTAATTTCCCGAGCACTATAGAAGTTAGGAGTTGGAGCTCTAAGAAGCAACCACTGGAAAAAAGTTTTATTTTAGGTATTATGATTATAAACTTTACTAAAAAAAATCATCTTCTTATTTATTTTCTTTCTCTTTAGCTACATGTACAGTATGAGCCAGAGATCAGTGGCATTATGGTGGAGATGGGAGACATGTGGCAGTGTCTTGATCTCATAAAGGAAATGCTTGCTCTAGAACCAGAGAAGAGGATAACTCCCATAGAGCTTCTCAGCCATCCATTCATCACAATGGCTCATCTCACGCACTTCTCACAGAGTCCATAGTACGCAATTTTTTTCGTTCATTGGAAAGGTTGCTTGGAAATGAAAGTTGGTATTAATGTAGGAGTAGAATGATTAATTATTTTCATAAATAGTATAGAAAGCTTTTTGCTCCCTCTCGTGAGCTATGATACTTCAAAAGTGAGAGAATAAAAACCTGATATGGACCAGGAATGGACTAGAGGTGGCCTAATTTTCTATGGTCAAAAGACCTATTATCAATGGTGGCATTCTAGGTCTGGAAAAAAAAACAACCTAAAAATAATAAATACAATATATATATATATATATATATATATATATTTAAACTATATCTATCATGTTTTTTCTACTTACATTGGAGGCACCAAGACAACCATTAGCACTTGGAGTGTGCTTTCAAAGAATATTGAGAAATTATGGTTTAGTTTATAGCAACTCAAATTATGTACTCATCTGTCCTTTGGAAGGAAGGTTTTATTCAGTAATTCTTCATTTGTGTATTCTTCCTGACATAATCCCCTGTCTATTCAATAGTTTTATTACTTTTATGTATATTTTTCTTCTCCTTGTCATTTGTTCCCATCCTTCAACAACTTTCCTTTTTTTCATTTCTTTAAATGTTTTCCACTTCCCTTTTCCTACATTACATTTTTCCTTTCCATATAATTACATCCCACTGTCCTTCTCTCTCTTTTTACAGTGTAGAATCCTGCCTTGAGGACATGGAGATCTGCAAATGTCAGGTGAGTATATATTACATTGTGAATCATAGTTAAAACAAACATTTATAAAAAAAATTGGTCCCAAAACAATCTTTCATTTTAGCATGACCATAACTCTGTAACTTTGTGCATATCTGTGTAAGTACTAAGGCTTTTTTATTTTAATATGTTTAATAAGGAGACTCTAGCCAATGGCTCCCCCATACCCCTTATCCATTAGCAGGTGAAAGAGCAAAGGTCAGTTAGTGCCTCCATTATTGTACCCCTTATAACCCAAACAAACCTGTAAAAACCTGTTAGGTGTACCACATAGACAGCAATGTACTTTGGCAGCTTCCCACAATACTTTTTTAATTAAAAAAGCAAAAAAAAAATATGCCTATTCATAATCATAACACAAATACAGACATTAAGCAGGAAAAGGTATAATATTCAATTTTACTAAGTATATTCTTAGTGTAACTTGTGTTCACAGTAGAGCAGATTTATTTTTCATATTCCTCTCTATATAGAGATATCATTATATAAACAATGTAGGCTGCCCAGGCTGCCCATCCTTTCTATCATTGCTAATGAATAGCATTATACATGGGCTCCTGAAAAGGACACTATAGCCACCCAGACCACTTCAGCTCATTGAAGTCATATCGGTGCAGTCTCCCAGGCCCCTTATCCTAGCAACTGTAATGATTGTAGTTTCTGATAAACTGCAATAATTACCTTGCAGGGTTAACTCCACCTCTAGTGACTGTCTACCAGGCAGCCACTAGAGGGACATCCAGTTTCTTAGGTGACTTTTGGTCACGTAACTGACGCTGTTGCATGAGGAAATCCAGTTTCACCCAAAACCCCATACTTTAGTCCGCTGACTGAAGTAAGTGGAGGAGAAGCAGCGGAGGAGTGGAGACGGAGCCTTTACCGGCACCCAGGGACATTGGTGCTGGAATAAGGTAATTGACCCCTTCTTCACCACAAAGGGAGCAGAGGGGCATGAGGGAGGGAGCACTATAGGGAGTGATAAGGCCAGGAAAACAACTTTTTTTTTCCTAGCACTACAGTTTCCTTTTAAATTAATACATTCTGACATTTTGTTTTTCGTTTCATGAGTAGCTGACTCAAGATGAAACAATGAAGGTTGAAGAAACCTGTGAGGATAGTATGGAGGATGTAGTACATGATACCCAGGAAAGACCATCTCAGAGTGAAAAGGAAACATCCGATGAGGACATAATAAAACACCTGAGTGACTTAAATGACGGCGACAGAGTTGAGAATGAGGAAACAAATCAGAGAAAGAGGGGATCCCGTCTGAAACGGGCATTACGAGCTCTGCGCTGCCGTTTCTCCAACACTGACAGCAGCACAGAGAAAGAAGCTGCAGCTTCCATCCACTCCTCCCGGCCATCGAAGCGCAGTGCAGGATTGCTGCAGAAGTGTGTCAGCGGCCTGTCTCAAATAAAAAGGAGGTGGAAACAAAGAAACAGAACTGTCCATCCATTACCATAAATTTCAATAAAAAATTGACTCTATCATCATTTGTCAAAGGTTCCTTTAGTTACATATAAAAAGTGCTCCCGTTTGGTAGTGAGGAGATTCTTATCATATTGTGGTGATATAAGATTTACAGAAAAAAACCTGAATCCTGTCCTAGATCTGAGACTGTATTTCCTGATGCTGCTAGCCCTCTATGGTCTTCCTGATTCTGTGCAGCGAGTGAATCAGGAAAGATCATAGAGACTAACATATGTCTTTCAAACACTGTCTGACTCAAGGTGCGTTTATATGGCTGAAGGATCCTGTCATATTCTAAAGGGAAGGATTCGCTTTTTCTCATTTGTTTTACATATATATATATAAATAAAGTATATTTTCTTTCAAAACTTAATGAAGGGATTATTAGATTAAAAACTAGTTTTGAGGTGACTGTAGTCCTTTAATTAATAGATTTTGATACCACAGCAGTAACCAATAAAGTGGACTCATCTAAGAGGTTTGCCTTCACCTGATAATTGACATTGCTGCTTTCAGTTTACGAGTAAGATCTGTGATAAGACATAAGAAGGTATTTTTATGAATTGCCTACAAACCTATCATCCCTTTACAGGGTTCCCGTGGGATGAGTGGGGGCAGTGTAACAAGGATGTGTGATACAAAAGCCCATTACCATTGGGCGGCAGCTATAGTAACATAATAATCTAGGTTGAAAATAGACTAAAGTTCATCAAGTTCAACCTTGAAAATTATTAATTTTCCCAAATCCATAAACTAAACCCAAACCAAAACGTTACCTGTGTATTATCCCAAATCCATAATTCCATTCAAACAAGAGAGACTTTTGGTACCACTGAATTCCTGCTCAATTGAAGTGCAAGCAATTTTAATATATACCCATTACCAGTAGTTGGATTAAAAATGTTTAGTAACTAGTTCTGACTTTTCATATGTAATACAAACACAAAGATAAAGCACCGCGCTTACAGCAGCAGTGGCTTAGTATCCAACAGCTTAAAATACATAGTAAAAACAAAGAAAACGTTACCTGCGCTCTGGCCTAAATCCCCATGTGCATTTAAACAAAAATGGAGGGTCTTTAGTTTTATTCTAATGGCCATTTGAATATATAAGCTCACCAGTCACGTCAAGGCAAGCCTCAATAGGTGAGTTCCTACACTAGCCATTAGATATGCTGATATCAGCCAAGAGTCTCCAGTGAGACAGGAAGGGGTATTTTATAAACCCTTTAACATTTAACCCTTTATAGGGCTTCTGCACATACAATAAACTTTGCTGAAATCAGACAAAGTGAGACAGAAAGGGGTGTTTTATAAACCCTTTAACATTTAACCCTTTATAGGGCTTCTACACATTCAATAAACTTTGCTGGTATCAGACAAAGTATAGACGTCTCTAATGAGACATGAAAGGGTGTTTTATAAACCCCTACATACTTTACCCTGAATAGGACTATAACATACAAATCACCTTGCTGGTATCAGCTAAAAGGCAAATTTCTCTGATGAGACAGGAAGGGGTGCTGCCCCTACATACTTATAAAGTCTTAATAAGACAAACGTGGGAAGGCTGGCAGCAATGTAACATAGCTGAGTGATACTAAATTCATATACAAACACAAAGATAAAGCACCGCGCTTACAGCAGCAGTGGCTTAGTATCCAACAGCTTAAAATACATAGTAAAAACAAAGAAAACGTTACCTGCGCTCTGGCCTAAATCCCCATGTGCATTTAAACAAAAATGGAGGCTCTTTAGTTTTATTCTAATTGCCATTTGAATATATAAGCTCACCAGCCACGTCAAGGCAAGCCTCAATAGGTGAGTTCCTACACTAGCCATTAATCATGCACACACACACACAGAAGCACATTGATGCAGTCACACTTATATACCCTGGGGGGAAAGGGTATGCTATTAATGCATTTAATGCATACACCTTGTATATCATGAGAATGAGTAGCAAGGATTTTTGGGTACATAGGCGAAGATGCATTTTTCTGCCCCACCCCCCATCTCCCTGAAAAAAATAACATCTTTATCTGTGTGCCTCTTAACCTCCCTTTGGTGGTTCTTATCCCCTCTTTTAAATGTCTTACCCCTTTTAGTGTATCTTATGTCCTATTTTTCCCCACTGTGTGTCTTACAACTCCTTTGTGTATCTCTTACAACCCCCTTTGTGTGTCTCTTATCCCCCTCTTTATATCACTCTTACATACTCTCACATTTTGTATGTCTTACTCCTCCCAACCCCTTTGTGTCTTTTGCTCTTCTCAGCTCCTTTGTGTGTGTCTCTTTCACCCCCAGCCCATCTGTCTCCCCCCAACCCCTCTGTGTGTCTATTTTTCCCCTTCTCAAGCCCCGCTGTGTGTTTCTTTCACATCCAGCCCCTCTCCCCTCCCCAACCCTTAGTGTTCCTCTCCTCTTCCCCCTCCTTTCCCTGTCCCTTAGTGTTTCTCTCGCCTCCCCTCCCTGTCCCTTGGTGCACCTCCCAACCCCTCTAATGGTCCCCTCCTCTTCCTAGTGTGCCTCCTACCTTTAAGTGTGGCTGAGCAGAGCAGATCCCCATACAGGAGCTTCAGTTCTCACTCCATGACAAAACACACAGACGTCCCTGACTGATCTGACACACACTCATTCATTGTGAATAGAGTAAGGAGCACAACCATAAATCTTTCTATATATGAAAAAAATCTTTATTAAATGGGTATATACTATAGGACTGTCTCTTTAAATATTATCCGCAGAGGTACAGAGTCATGCTATTCAAAAGCATTTACCAGAAAAGCAATGATATAAGCAAATATAAAACGCTCAATGCGTAATAAATGAATGAAAGAAATATCATGCAAACAGTCCACTATAATACTAGTATAATGAAAACCCAGACATATAAAAAAATGTAGCAAACCATACCAAATTCAGTGAGAAGTAGGGACAGAGTCAATCAAAAAAAAAAAACCGTTTCGGCTGAAAAGCCTTTGTCAAGGGAGTATGTTGAGAAACTAAGTTCTCCCCTTATATACCCACAGGAAACACCAAAATTAAAAACACCTGAAAGTAGTGGGTGGCCACCCATAGTGATTGAGATCCTCCCAACCATCAAACACCTGTTTATGGTTACCAAGGAAACCAAGTATATACACACCTATCATACATATATAGCATCAAGAAGAGTTGCAAATAAATATAATAGTACAAATCAAATTAAAGACATCCATATATGCATGCATTAAAGACAGTAACAGATCATCATCAATGCCATGGTAAGTAATACTGTAAAAAATAAATCCTATTACAAATAACAGCATATTCAATTGAACAGACCAAAGGTCTTCACATAAACAAAAAGTAAAACATATATTACATACACATAAAAGAAATCAACACACCCAGAACAGAGTTCAGCCGATCAGGCTACTGGAAAAGATAAAATTCAATCCATCCTGAGTGAAAGCAAGGTGCAAGCAGCAGCATGCGTTTCAAGTTGCCGAACCCGGGAATCGGCTGAATGAAATGGAGGTTCCTAGTTGGTCTCCCATACATGTACTAACCAGGCCTAAGTCTGGATAGCTTCTGAGATCTGACGAGATCAGATATTTTCAGACTGGTATGGCCATAGATATACGTTCCAATATATCCGGCAAACAAAGCCAGTCTGCGTCCTGCGCATGCGTTCATTGACAGACATTTATTGACAGACACATTGACAAACATACTCTCACTGATTTGACAGACACACACTCACAGACACACACTCATTAAGAATTAATATTTTTATAATTAAAAAATTTCCTCCCAGCCTCCCTACCTGGAGAGCTGGCGTGGATCTGTCCCTGGGGTCCAGTGAGGATGCTGTGAGGCGTGCGGCGGTGGTAGAATCAGAGGCGGCGAGGGAGCTCTGATCTCCCTGCTCTGCTCCCTCACGCCTCGTGGGCCATCTACAGATTCTGGGAGCCGGAATATGACGTCATATTCCGGCTCCCGCGAGGAAGCAGAGCAGGGAGATCAGAGCTCCCTCACTGCCTCTGATTCTACCACCGCTGCACGCCGCACGCCGCACCTGGGGTCCCGAAGGTGGCCTGGTAGGAGGGAGCGCTTCCTTTCTGCCGGTCACTGGAATCTTGTGCCCCCAGAGCCGGTGCGCCCTGAAGCGGCATACCTGTGCCGCCCTATGGACACGGTGGCCCTGGTAGTAATGCATAAACCTTGAATATTATGCCAGTGAGCAATAAATGCATAAACTTGGTATATCATGTCAATTACCATTAAATGCATAAATTTGGTTAAAAAAAATTAATAAGATTTGCATATCATGCAATTGAGCTACATGTGCCTCCAAAAAGCCATCTAGTGCCATGTACTCTAATACAGCCTGCCATTACCATCTCCTTGCCACCAGCCTCTGTTAAATAACTGCCACCAGCCTCTCTGTGCCATCTCTCTGCCTCCAGTGAGGGTGACAGTGCGTGTGGGATGATGACAGTGTGTGTGGGATGATAGTTTGGGAGAGTGACAGTGTGTATGTGTGTGTGTGTGTGTGTGTGGGGGGGGTGATGTTGTGGGATTGTGATAGTGTGTGGGAGGGTGACATCCCCCCTTCCAACCATGCCTTCCTCCCCTCTTCCATCTATGTCCCTTTACTCTTTCCATCCATGTATCTCCCGCCTCCCCTCCATCTCCCCCTCCCCTTTTCATCCATGTCTCACTCTCCTAACCCCTTACATCAATGTTCCCCTTCTCTCCATGTCCCCCTACCCCTTCTAACCATGCCCCTCATCTCCATGTCCCCCTACCTCTGTCCACCCACTCCTCTCCATGTCCCCTTACCCATTCAATCCATGTCCCCCTCCCACTTCCAACCATATGATCCTCCTCTCCATGTCCCCCTACCAATTTCATCCACGTCTCTCTCCCCTCCTTGTCCCATATCCCCTTCCATCCATGTTCTTCTCCTCTCTATGTCCCCCTATCCCTTCCATCCATGCCCCTCATCTCCAGATCCCTCTACCCCTTTTATCCACCTCCTTCAATACATGTCCCCCTCCCCTACATGCCCCCCATTCCATCCATATCCTCCTCCTCTTCATGTCCCCTTACCCCTATCATCCATGTTCCACTCCTCTTCATGTCCTCCTATCATCCCTGTCCTCCTGCCCTTCTCTCTATGTTCCCATACCATCCCTGCCCCCCCATGTCCCCCTCTCTCTCTCTCTCCTTCCTCAAATGGCAGGCAGCCTGTCAGTCACAGAGCCGGTGCCCTGGATTAAGGAACCCCCAGGCTCTGCTCAATTACAGATAGATGTTCCCCTCCCCGCTGTTTTACTTTTTTAGGCAGGGTAGGGGTGCCTCTCCCTGTCCAGCGGCGCACTCTGCCTCCTTCACACTGACACCCGGTGTTCCTACGCAGAGCAGGAGGGGGAGGCGCACCCCCAGCCGGCTTAGTCTTCATGCACTTCCCTAATGGAGATGCACACTGCCTGCAGAAGAGGGAGTGCAGAAATCACTTGTCAGCCTGACAAGGGATTTTTGCACTCCAGGCGGGGGCCGGTTTTGCCAATGGTTTGGCGAACTTGTTAAATGTTAATAACAGATTCGCATGAACCGGTGCGAACCGGCTGAATCCCACCACTGGGAAATCACACCCCATAGGGAAAGCATTGGATTGGCAAAAATCGGCACAATAATTACCTTTAATCAATGCATCTCTATGAGGAAAATTCAGTGTTCCCATGCAGAGTGTGGAGACACTGAACGGCAGGGCTGCTTACTGTGCAGCCCTGAGCCAGGAAGACCCTCCAGTGGCCATCTGAGGAGTGACCACTTGGAGGTGTCCCTAGGGGTAATGTCAACACTGCCTTTTCTCTGAAAAGGCAGCATTTACATGAAAAAGCCTGAAGCAAGCTATTATACTCACCAGAACAACTACATTAAGCTGTAGTTGTTCTGGTGGTTTCTGCTCTGCTCCAGTCTTCCTGTCCCACCACCTGTTCCCTCGATCCTATTCCTTCATATCTCATCCACACTATGTCTCCCTCTCTTGCTCTTTCTCTCACTAAAACTTTCAATCTCTCCCCTTCCTCTGGCACATTTCCCTCACCCTTCAAACATGCAACTGTAACCCCGATTCTGAAAAAGCCCAGCCTTGACCTCAACTTCCCATCCAACTACCACCCTATCTCACTATTGCCATTTGCCTCCAAGATCCTCGAGAGAGTTGTGTACACCAGACTGACTGACTTTCTCGAAACCAACTCTCTGCTTGACCCCCTTCAGTCTGGATTCCGCGCTGGTCATTCTGTCGAAACGGCTGTGACCAAAGTATCCAACGATTTAATTGCTGCTAAATCTCACGGCCATTACTCTATCCTAATTCTCCTTGATCTTTCTGTTACTTTTGACACTATTGATCATCAACAGCTTCTTCGCATTCTTCGTAATTTTGGTTGACGAGATACTGCTCTCTCCTAGTGCTCCTCCTACCTCTCTCAGTGCTCTTTTTTAGTGTTTCTTTCTCTGACTCTGCCTCTTCCCCCCAACCACTCTCTGTCGGCATCCCCCAAGGTTCTGTCCTTGGTCCCGTACTGTTCTCTATCTACACTGCCTCCTTTGGTAAACTCATCAGCTCCTTTGGCTTTCGTTATCATTTCTACGTGGATGATACGCAAATCTACCTGTCCTCTCCTGGTCTCTCTCCGCTCATCTTGACTCGTTTCTCTAGTTGCCTCTCTTCGATTTCCAAATGGATGGCTGCTCACTTCCTTAAACTCCAGCTGTCCAAAACAGAACTTCTGGTCTTTCCTCCCTCAAGTGTTACTACTCCTGTGTCTGTCTCCCTCCAAGTCAACGGTGCTACCATCACCTCTACCTTGCAGGCTCACTGCCTGGGTGTTCTTTTTGACTCCAACCTCTCCTTCACCCCTCATGTTCAATCAATCGCCAAATCCTGTCGCTTCCATCTCAAAAAACATAGTGTGCATCCGCCCCTATTTAACCCTGGATGCGGCTAAGGTGCTGGTCCATGCTCTTGTTCTCTCTCGCATGGACTACTGCAATACTCTTCTCAGTGGTCTTACGTGTTCCCAGATTGCACCATTGCAATTTACAATGAATGCAGCGGCAAGGCTCATTTTCCTGTCTGCTAGCACCTCCCACGCCTCCCCGCTGTGTCAGTCCCTGCATTTGCTTCCAGTTAGATATAGGTCTCAATTTAAAATTCTGGTGCTTGCTTACAAGTCCCTACATAATGCTGCTCCCTATCCTCCTAATACACAAGTATATCCCATCAAGTAGGTCAAGTATGTCGTTTACGCTGCCAAAGACTTAGGTATATCCTCTGTCCGTACTCCCACCTCCAAGACTTTTCCAGGGATGCACCTCCTCTGTGGAACTCCCTTAATTTCTCCGTAAGAATTTCACCCAGTCTACACTCATTAAAAAAAAAATCATTGAAAACTCACTTCTTCAAGAAAGCATATCAATTAAACTGTTAGCAGGTTAGCAGGTTTTTATCCCCCACCCTCCATGACTCCTCCCCTGCAACTGTTTTATAATCTACTTATCACTTTATTTAACAAATATGCACTGTGAAGTGTGAGAAATTAATTTGATGTAGAAAGCCACACCTCTTTATCAGACAACTCAGCACTTCCATGTTAGCTCCTGCCAATCATTGTTATAAGTTCTGTCCTTTGTATCTATCTGTCAGCAAAGAGAAAGCATATAGAGATGGAGAAATTACTTTTCTGTCTCTTTTTATATAACCTAATCTCAACCTAATCTCAACAGTAAGCTAACTAAACCAACCAAATTCTGGAAAACTACTAAATATTTTACTCCCTCGCCAAATCACACATACAACACATAAGCATTGTAACAAATAACCAACTGGACAATCATGCATTCCAAGGCATCTTAGAGTTTGTTAATGCACTAATTATTTACTTTGTTGCCTATACTACCACACTGATCACTTAGATATGAGTATACTAAAACAAACCCTGCCTAGGCTCAAATATCATCTCACTTGGTCTGTGTTAGTCACCTAAACAGGATGAATAATTATATTCACCTTTGAAGTATGTGCTGCAAATCCATAAGGTTTATATTTTCTGCAGTGATCTCTCACCAAACCAGGAAGTGGCCTAGGCAATAATAATAACAAGGGGATCTGAGCAAATTGTTGTTATCAATAAATTCACAATCTGGGCCTGACCTACATCAGCGTTTACATCAGATTATTACATGTGCTCATTTTGTATATCTTACTAATGTTGGGTGGAAAACTCAGAAGAACCTCAGTGCATAGAGGAATCCAGATAAAATAGAGGAATCCAGATAAGAGTGCAAACCATTGCAAACCATTTTGTCCTATATCCAGGGAAACAGGGCCAGAGTACTGCTCACATCATCAGCTGCTGTAGTGGTTATGATTCTTGGAATAACCCTTTAAATCCACAGAAAGCATTATAATGCGGTTTATGAATCCTAATAAGAAAATGGTTTGTTCATAAAAATGTCAATGGTAATTGTAGATTCAGTAATATTGCATGGTATATATTCAGTGTAGTATAATCTCACTCTACATAAGTTATTTTGTTACATTTCCTTTAATGTACTTTTTATAGCATCCATTATTGTAGACATACTATACCGTTTAACTCTTCAGTGCCAATGTGCTCTACTTCTTTACTGCTTGGATCTTACCCGCTGCTCTGGAAAAAGTGTTTACACCACCCAAGACATATGTTTACTGCAGCTGCTCACACCATCTATAAACTCTGGTCCATAACTAGCTCTTTACTTTCTATATTACTGTATCGTGCACAAGAGGCATTGTAGAAGGATAGATAAAAAGGGAAAGGAAGGTGTATTACATACCTCACAAACATTTCAGTTCCTGCCCTGCTGTCTCAGGTTTGTCACTAATCTGCACAATGCAAGGATTACACATCTTGTGGTATGATGTCCCTGTTTTGGAAGGGCTCTTCCCTTTAGGCTTCTCGAGTGACACAAGTTGCATCACTGGTACGCCCCTACATGCCTGCTCATCCACCGTTCTGATTTCATATGTCTCCATGTTAGAAAGTATGGATTTACTGGTCCTTGGAGATGACTCAATACTTCCAAGAACATAAAAGGAGAATGGCGTTCTGTTAACAGTCTGAAATAGTAAGGAAGAACAAGACAGATGCCAAATGCAGGAACAACACATATTCAACACAGCCAGATCACAATAGATACTAATCAAAACCAAACTAAAATAACATTAGCCACAATGACACTAACAATGAAAATGTACTATGAAAGGGTGCTATGAAAAAAAGATCATGAGGAAGCAGGAACCAGGCACAACTACAAATTTAAATAATGCCTTAAAGTAACTTCAGTGAAAAAGCTACTGCAATACAACATATCTGTCCAATTGTAATTGAACATACATACATAGCATTTGTGCATCTTCTCAATACAGTAAAGTGTATTAAGACAATAAAATTTTGGGCGGATACTGGACCCACACACCACTCCCCTCCTCCCCCTCCTGGATGGTAAATAATCCCTACAACGGGAAGGCATGGTGAAATTAACCTCCAAGTGAACCACATCAAAACCCATCCAATCAGAAACTCTTTACAACTCAGCAGGAGGAAAACGCACGGCAATGGTACCCTAAGCACAATGCCTGCAATAGCCTCTGAATCGAACCTTCAGCACGCCCCTCATTCCTCACACACAGACCCTGGAAAACAGAACCCGGCCATTCCTTCTGCATGGGGACCAAAGCTCCCACCTCTACCCCCTACCTCCCTTCCTACAGCCAGCACTAACGAAAGCACACACGAGACCACTGGACACCCAAAACAACACACCACCTCGGGGGCCCTGTGCTTACCTCCCTGCAGAAATGTTCCACAAGCCATGCACCGCTCGACCGGGCCCACTATGGAATGTAATGCTGCCTCCTGAGGATATCCGATCACTGACCATGCCCTGGCGTTACTATAACCGCACTCGGACGCCTTTAAGGGGTGGGATGCAAGCCTCTCATGAGGTCTAAACAGTAAACTACAGCAGACCACCAGTGGTCTTTCATTACAACTAAGAATTGTGCATTGTCATGTGATTTATGGCTTCCTTTTTCTGTAAAATTCCAAAACTCTATTAAATAAAGAATTTATTTAAAAAAATTAAAAAAAGACATTAAAATGTCAATATATATTGCTGTAAAACACTTTAAAATTTAAGGATTACTCCAAGCATCATAACCACTACAGCCCGCAGTAGTGGTTGTGAAGTAATTATTACCCTCACCCGGTTTCCTGGTAGTGGGGCAAATAATTTTGCAATGCTTTGCCCCTTACCTACAGAGTTCGGATGCTCCCTGTTCCAGTAATTCGCAGTCCCGCAGAAACCAACAGCGTGCCCATCGCCATGTGTTACACCTCTGGCAGAAGAAGAGTTAAACTCTGTATTTGCAATAATTTCCAAGCAAAACACTGCATATACAGATTGCAAGCACCATAACAACCTAAAATCACTGAAGTGCTTATGGTGCTTGAAATAACCATTTACTATATTAAAATATCTATATCATTTTTCATATTTAATTTAACTTTTTGTGATACACATATTCCTAACACAAAGATGACACTACAATTTATAGCTGTTTCTGTTTACAAAACCCATGCGGCATAGAAACAGGGCCAGTTTCAACATCATACAAACCACAAAACAAGGAGTGTCCACTAAACACACAAATGCCTTCTGTGTGTGTTCAAAGCTCAGAGCACCAACTGTTTGTAACCAGAAAGCTTGTACACTGCATTTATTTCTAAAGTACTGCTTTACATGAGATATAGATGGGATCAAGGAAACAATAGGTGTATTATTTCATATCTGAGGATTATAAACAAGACATAATAGAGGCAATATCTTTTACAATAGTGTGGAGATTGTTCATCTTTGTTGATTACATTACTGTGTTTTCATGTTAAAGGACCACTATAGTGCCAGGAAAACATACTCGTTTTCCTGGCACTATAGTGCCCTGAGGGTGCCCCCACCCTCAGGGTCCCTCTCCCGCCGGGCTCTGGGGAGAGGAAGGGGTTAAAATCTTACCTTTCTCCAGCGCTGGGCGGGGAGCTTTCCTCTTCCTCTCCTTCTTCCTAGCGACGTCATCGGCTGAATGCGCATACGCGGCAGGAGCCGCGCGCGCATTCAGCCAGTACATAGGAAAGCAATTACAATGCTTTCCTATGGACGCTGGCGTCTTCTCACTGTGATTTTCACAGTGAGAAGCACGCAAGCGCCTCTAGCGGCTGTCAATGAGACATCCACTAGAGGTTTTAGAGGCTGGATTAACCCTCAGTGTAAACATAGCAGTTTCTCTGAAACTGCTATGTTTATAAAAAAAAAAAAGGGTTAATCCGAGCTGGACCAGGCACCCAGACCACTTCATTAAGCTGAAGTGGTCTGGGTGCCTATAGTGGTCCTTTAATGCTGTACCAGATTAGAAGACCAGAAAACAAGGATTTTGCACATCTTAACTGTATGTTGACATTAAGTTAATTTGATATCGGGAAATAGTAAACGTGTTTATTTGAGAACATTAACTGTATTTTAGAAGCAAATAAGGGATATTCAGCGCTTGTAAATTACTGGATAGTTCTGGGGGGCAGCTTAGTCACCTAGTCCAGGGTCTCTCTTGTCCAGCAAAGAAGGAAAGCAAAAGGATGGTGTAGCACCTTGTATGTCCTTGGGAGTATGTGGATGACAAAAAGAAGAAACTAATATTGTGATATGTAAAATACTATAGAAAATAAAATAGTAAAAAATTCACACCACACTTTTTAGGAGCTTAGGTGCAGCTCCAACTTTCTCGCTTGGGCGGAATGATCCCCGCCTAGGGATATAATGTGGTCCACAGGTCTGTCAACAGTTCCTCCTCTGTGTCGCTTTATTCATCAGCATGTGGGGACAGGAGAAAATATTATTGTGTAGTATGTGATACCAAAATGGCAATAGGTGAATTAAATATATGAATTGTGCACTCACATGTTTTGGAGCCTGGACATTGGCTCCCCAAATACAGTGTAGAGTGGAACTAATTAGCATATGAGATTTTCAAGATTTTTTTAAATTGCTAAATAAATAATAAAAATACTTGAATAATAGTGTAGGGAAGGTAGTAGGTAGGTTAGAATGTAAAAATGAGCTGTAATTTAGTAAATACATATGGTTTGTTATGGTGGGCGGAGAAATGGGTGGAAAACAAAACGGTGCGTGGCCGCATCACGTAGTCAGTGCGGGTGCGTCACGTGGTCGGAGTGGCTGAAACAGATAATATGATCTAAGTAGTTCCAGAGTGTTATAGGCGTTCCTTGGGCTCATTTGGGTGTTCACTAGCCGACTTAGAGCTAGGAACAGGAGATAGATTTTGGAGCCGAGCTAGTTATGTACGTGCTCGGCTCCAATAAAATGGCGCCCGTCCGGGGAAACTAACTGTATTATAAATACAATTGATCTGGTCAATAGCCATGTAGATTGGAAATTTATTTAGTTTGGCTAGTTTGGCCTAAATTTTGAAAAATTGCTATTCGTGAATGAGAATTTAAAATGAATTTCACATTTTAGACCAAACTGTTCATTTAGATAAGTTTGGCCTTAAATGTAAAATAAACTTTGAAGGCTGACCCTATTGAGGTTGAATCGTTCATTGGATCTAAATGGCACTTGGAGGAGTGCAGCATTTTGACACTGTAACATATTCTTCCTCACCTCGAGGTCAGCGGCTCTGCATCTGCATGACTAACACTTGCGGCATGTTAATGGACGCCGGCCGCTGCGGATCCGTGGCTAATTGTACCCCCATGTCCGCTCACGTGATTGACGACGTTGGCGTGCACGTGACGTCACGCGCACGCACGTTTTGGGGTCAAGGAGCGATCTCAGCCAAACGGAAAGGTGAAGCAGGTATTTAAACCTGAAATTACCTTTCCTCATTGCCCTGTCGTGGCTTCCCTAGTGGTTATCCGTGAGCGCGTTCCTGATTCAAATTTCTTCTGGTTTTTGACTTTTGCTTTGATTTTGACTTCCCTGTATTCTGGTATCCCTGACCTCTGGCTTTCCTTTATCGTTGTGTCCCTATCTGTGTTCCCTGACTTCGGCTTGCACCCTGACTATTCTTTGGTACGTTAGTCCGGCCATTCTAAGGCCTGGTAATACGTTACTTATTAGTCATCTGTGTAACACAATTTTATGTGCTGGATCATATAGTAATCCTGACAGACACCCTCTCGCGGTATTAACCCTTTCAGAAGTGTTGCCCTCAACAAGAGGGATATGTTGTTGCCTTTCTAGTTGGTGGATAGTGCTCCTACTATGGACACCAGCTTTTGAATCTCTAAGGTCATGACTCTGCCCCCTCCCACTTACAGAGGCCTCAGAACGTATCAGCAAACATAAGTGGGTTTATAAGTAGGTTTGGGATGTGTCTGAGGGGAGAAATACAAGGCAGGAATGAGACTGAAAGAGACACTATACTCTAGCTTATTGCATTTGTTCTGCTGAGTAGAATCATTCCCTTCAGGCTTTTTGCTGTAAACACTGTCTATTCAGTGATAACTTCACTGGCCACTCCTTAGATGGCTGCTATAGGTGCTTCCAGTGGCAGTGCTGCACAGTGACACCGAACTTTCCTCATATATATGAATTGATTCCATTCATCTCTAGATGGTGATTGGCTTTGTTTGACTTGTGCTGGCTCTGCCCCTGATCTGCCTCCTTGACAGTCTCAGCCAATCCTATGGGGAAGCATTGTAATTGGCTCAGACCACCACTACTATTGATGTCAGCAGACAGCAGGCAGGTCAGAGGCAGACAGGGTAGCAGCTACAGACTTAATTACAGGTAAGATTTTATTATATTTAGGGAGGCAAGGGAGGTCGAGGGGGCTAGATGGTGGTTTTAACACTATAGGATCAGGAATTCATGTTTGTGTTCCTGACCCTACAGTGTTCCTTGAAGGAAGATGTACTAGGGAGGGATCTGCAGAAAAAAGGGATTTATGGGGCACACCTCAGTAGTGGTTCTGTGGAAAGACCAATATATATATATATATATAAAAGCAATACTGGTCAAATCTTCAATATAATACTGGGTGCATACCAAGGCTTAATGTATCCAAATAGAAAATACTGTCAGTAGCACTCACGGTCTTCCATAAAATCTGGTTTTTATTAGGTCATATTAAAAAGGATCAACTTTTTTAGTCCTTTTCCAAGACTTTCATCAGGATCATTATAAATAAAACAATGCAATATAACTGTATATATGGATACAAGTAAAGTGATATTAGAATCACCCCAGGTGTAGTGCATGATCGGCAGCATCCCACCGGATCCCTGGTGCATGCATGTGTACGTGTGTGCATGCTCTGCCTCTAGAAGTGACGTAGTGAGGAATTGTCATCATGGACTACACGTATTATTCCAATGAATTGAAACAACAGTTGGCGGATAGCCAAACATACCGTTTACTAGAACAAGATCCTACTAGAAACATTTAGAATAGAATCAAATAAGTTCTGGCCATGGGCTTGAAAGCAGGATACATTGATTTGAAACTGTACCAGTATGTCACTAAAAGCTACCCTCGCACCCCGATCATTGATGCAATACCTAAGATCCACAAGGACCGATATACACCACTGGGTCGCTCTATAGTGTCCGCTATAGATGGGGTACTGGAGCCAATTGTCAAATGGCTCGATCATCTGTTTAAAGCACCTATCGAGGAACTGCACAGTGCATTAAGGACACACAGTAGCTTTTAGCAAAGATTACACAGTTGGAAATTGGGGACAGGAAGCCAATCCTCATCACCATGGTTGTACGTAGTTTATATATCCCCCATGATGGTGTGGAAGCCATGCATAGTGTCCTGGCACAATATACAACGTATTTTGGCCCCCCAATAGAGTTTGTTTTGGAACTGCTTACCTTGACCCTACATACCTATTTTTGGTTTGAGGAACCTTCAAGTGGCAAGTACCTTGAT